GCCTGGACATATGAGAGATGCTCATGTTCTTTGAAGAACTCCCTCACTTCCTGCAAATCTGTGCTCAAATGTGACCTTCTTGCTGAGGCCACCCTTATCACCTCAAGCTGCACCCTGCGCCCCCACCCCAAACCCCTACTTTGTTCTTATTCTATATAACTCAAATCACCTTTTAACACTTCACTCTGTTCTTAAGTCTCTGGCCAAGGCCAGGGTCATGTAGACATCTGCCTGGCATCCTGCTGGGGTACCTTTGTGGGCCCTCAGACCAAAGCTCCGGGACACCCAGCTCCTCAGCAAGGAGGATCCAAGAACAATATTATTTACTAGAGTCAAGTAGTCCTATGCCCAGATGTCCTTCTCAACAAACCTGGGAACACTGAGTCAGGTGTCTTGAGAGAAGACTCTAGTCTCTGCTGAATTCTTTAAGAGTAGAGTCAGGTACCTAGCAGGTTCCCTGTCCCCACGCCCAGAGGAGCCTCTCCTAGCTCAAGAATTCACTGTGGTTCCTGGGAAGGGGAAGGAGCAGAGTGACTCTTCAAAGTACCAGTTTCCTCTGAGAGGTAGGGCGGGGAAGGAAGGTCACCTCAAAGGGAACTGGGCACAGCCCCATGGTGCCAGGGCACAGGGAGGGGACGGTGTCCTGGGGAACCCTGGGAGCCAAGGCTGGAGAAGAGCAAGCAGCACCGATGGCCCCACTGGGGGACGCCCCTCTCCTGCCCCACACCCTACTTTTCCCTGAAAACTGCTCCTGGGTAGGGGAAAACAAAGTTGCCAAACAGACTTGGCATGCCTTGACCCGGGAGGAGCCCTGAGAGTGGTACTGCCTGAGTGAGGTAAGAAGCCTTCTCTGAGCGGAGTACTCAGGATAAGTCAGTCCAGGCGGCCAGCGCTGCGCAGAGCAGCCAACCCAGCAGCAGGGACCATGGGCCTCTTGGGCCTCCACTCAGGTGTCTCAATAGTTGCCCCCGACACTTCTAGAAGGATCTGGAAAGTTGAGGAATCCTTCAGGAAACCCCACAGCGCTCCTGGAGACTCTTGCCCGGGATGCTCAATGTCTCCAGTGGGTAGACAAGGGGTCACAGACTGATGGTAGAGGCTCCACAATTTCCAGCTCCATATACCACTTTCTCTATGGGGTGGGGGGGTGTGCAGCCTCCTGGGGCCAGGACGTCCCGGCAGGGGAGGGCACCTCTTCCCTAAACAGGGTTGAAAGCACTATGGAATTCCCAGAAAAGCTCCTTAATGGCAACAGAGCAGCACAAGAATGTGATCCCCTCCATCCCCAACAAGGTACAGAATGTATACAGCCAAGCCTCTGCTAAAAGCTGAGATTAGATTGTGCACCCACTTCTCCCCAGGAAAGGCCCCCAGCTGGGGTCTGGCCATCAGGCCTCACTCCTGGCTCTCCCAAAGAGCAGGGCAGGTACCAAGGGCCACCCACAGGAACACAAAGTGAGGCTGGAAGAGGCCACTGTCCTCTACCTCTGCCTCCCTAGTTTCAAGGAACAATATTCCCATTTTAAAAGGTCTGACCTCCAGAGGCTTTCAAAAATCAGGGCCTCTTGGCTGACTTCTGGACAAAGAAGCCAAATTCCCTCACAACCCAGCAAGCATGTCCAAAAGGTTCAGGTGTCTGCCCAAAGGCCCACAAGTGACACTTTTTATGCTTTATGGAGCAAGTTAAGCAGCTCACCCACCCCCTGATACCTGCTCTATGCCAGGCCACACATGTTCATGACATTTTTTCCCCCATTCTCCTGTCAACAAGGCTCGCTGAGGCTTGGCATGGTTAGGTGACTGAGCCAAGATTATGGAGCAAGAAATCAGCACAGCATGATTCAGAGCTACACCTGTTATCTGGGAAGACACTAAAATAACGTAAGAACCATGTTTGAGGAAAAAGACTGAGAAGCAAGAGGGAGTTTTGCCTCCTCATACTTTCTAAAACATTTCACTTTCCCCACTATGGGCTCCTAGAACCTTTTTAATTTTTTAAACTAATGGGTCAGCTGGAATTATGGGCCTTTTTTTCTTTCAATGCAACTGTGTTAAAAATTTGCTAAGTGCTCAATTATTAAGTTATTAAAATTATATTATTCTACCACCAAAGAGGCACTCCATTGACTCAAGGAAAAGTAGGGAGGCAGACTGACCTCAGACACTGGAAACACTGTCCAGTGGCCCCCCCAGAGACTGGCCTAATCTAACTTTGAAGAAGAGGAGTTAGTCGTCATCAGAGCCCCCAGAGCTGGGTTTGCCTCTTGACTGCCACAGGTGAACACTGTGGGAAGATCACTTAAGAAAATCAAATCTGGGGCACCTGGTTGGCCCAGTTGGTTGAGCACCGGACTCTTGATTTTGGCTCAGGTCAGTATCTCAGGGTCCAAAGATGGAGCCCCGCCAGGCAGGAGTCTGCTTGAGGATTTCTCTCCCTCTGCCCCTCCCCCTGCCTCGTGCCCACACTCTCCCTGTGATAGATGAAAGAAAGAAGAAAAAAAAAGAAGGAAGGAAGGAAGAGAAAACCAAACCGGAATGCTCTGCCATAAGATAAATAAGTAGGACCATCTCTCCCAGGACCCTTCCCATGTCTTAGCTCTGGAAGACGCACAGTCTTCCTCAAAAGCCCTTCTTGACGGTGGCTTCTCCGGGGCTGGGCCACAGCTATTCGGTACCGCTGCTCTGTTCTTCCCACCTGGGGTTTTCCGTCTCCCTGACACACTCATTCCCTCCCAGCTCCCCTCCCTGTTCACAATCCCCTCTGCAGCCTGACAGGACTCTGAGTTGTAAACTCTGCAGAGGATCCCAAGAGCCCAGGTTAAGACGCCCCGCATCTGGCACGTGGATCCCCAGGGGAAGGGGCACTGAGTCTAAGCCCTGCCCCCTCACCCAATGTTCACCTGGTCTCAGGTGAGAGCCTGAGAGGACCACATCGCGGTTCTCCTGGTTACAGTCAGCTCTCCCCACAGCTAAAGCTCAGTGTGTCTACAAACTGCCCAGCAGGGGCAAACCAAGAGCAAACTTTGCACACTTTCTTTGGCAAGACGGTATTTTTCACTCCTCACCAAGTCCTAACGTATCACAGCACAACTCCACCCCTGTCGCCGTGGAAAACATACTGGATCTCCATACCTTCCTTTAAGGTGTCCAAGGCCGCCAGAGGCGGAGAAAGACCCAGAGACCGAAGCCCCTCCCGCGGGCTTCCTGCGTCCGGGGATTAGGAGGCACAAAGGGCCGGCAGAGAGTGGGCCCAGATGGCAGGGGCAGGGACTAAGCCGGCGAGGTAACGAGCTGCGGCCGCTGCTCGCAGAGAGCGGACTACCTGAGACGCGCGTCCCCAGCCTCTCGGGCCAGGGGCCTTCCACGTGGGGCCCAGGGACCCGGGATCCCACCCTCGCTCGCGGTGACCTCCTGCACTCATCCGGGCCGGGCACTTGTTTCTCTGTTTCCCAGAACCAACACTATTAGGCAAACCCAAAGCTCAAATTCAGTAAACGCGGACGGATCAGGCAGAGAAAAGTTCCCAGCCGCAATTCCTACAGGTGTCCTTCGCCCAGACAAACGGAGCCACGGGATCCAGGGCGAGGCGCGCGGATCCGCGCACAGCTCTCCCGGGGAAAGCCGGGGTCCCGGCCCTCCCCCGCCTTCCCGCCCCGAGTGGAGGGCGCCCCGAGGGGGCGGACCCGGCTGGGTGTTTCCGGGCCCGCGCCTCACCTGGAGCCCCAGGCCGGCCCCCGCCCGAGGCCTCGGCGTCCCACGGAACCGGCCGCCGGCTCCGCTCACTCCACCGCCGGCCCACGGGCTGCTGGGCGGCAGTCTCCTTCCTGCTCACCTCCGGCGCGGCGAGCAGGGGGCGGAGCCGCTGCTATTTACATAAAGGGCGAGCCGGGCGGTCTCGCAGAGCCGAGAGCGCCGGACCCCATTGGCCCCGCCCCCGAGACTGGCCCCGCCCCTCCAGGGCTCTGAGCCGACGGGGCGGGAGCGCAGCGAGGACGCCCTCGGGGGGCGGGCGGCGGCCGCTCTCGGGCCAATCCTCGGCCCCCGGGAGCGCGGGGGCGGGACCGCGTCCGGCGTGAATATGCACGAGGCACTGCGGGCCCGCCCCCGGCCTCACCTGCGCGCACCTGGACTCAGGCCGACACGCCGCGCCCAGTGTCCTGCCGCGTCCGGGAGGAAATAGTCCCTGGGACGCACGGCATCCTGGGCCGCCTCCCAGGCCAGACCGCCGAGGGTAGCCGTCCCTCCCCCACGGCGGCCCCGAGCGGCTGAGGGAGGGACGTAGCCGAGCCTGCTCTTCCCGAGGACGCCCAACCCAATCAGAGCGGGTGACCCGCGGCAACTGGGCCCGGTTTCGGGACCCAAGAACGAGGTGGCTTGGGGACGGGGGCGTCGCCGCGAGGTGCCTCCCGTCGGAGCGGGCTCCAAGCCTGGACCCCGGTCCTCCGAGTCGCTGCGGAGGCAGGAAGGCCCCCAAGGCCCCGAAGGACAGCAACATTGACCAGAGTTTTTAGCACAACTGGGGAGAGAGTTGGAGCGACGAGAGGCGGGAGCGGAAGGGGCGCGGAAGCCAGGGATGCGAATGGCGCGCTCCACAGCACGACCCGAAGCCACTGGGGTTCGAGCCGCGCCGACGTGGCGCCTCTCTGCCGCCCTTCTATCCCGAAGCGGCTGCGTTCAAGGAAAGCCCGATGGAGCGCCAGCCTCCCTCCGCGGACTACCATTCAGAAAGCCAAGCTGATTAGGTCTGTGACTTCCCGTCCCCTGAGCGCAGGCCCTGAGAAAGGTGCGGGGTCGCGTTCTTGCCCTCCCGGGGAGACTTCTCTTTGCTCCCGCGCCAGAAAAAGCAGCGTTGTCTGCAGGCCGGCAGAACAGGGGTGAGGGCCTGGGGGCCAGGTCCACGGACATCGAGACTTGGGGCCGGGGGGGGGGGGGGCGTAAGGAAGAGAAAGGAGGGCTTGAGGCTCAGGCTCGGGACTTGTCTACTATCTCCAGCCACAGCAGAAAAGCGATCTATTTTTTAATGGCTTTGGCTTTATCGTACGAAGCAGGCACCCTCTCGTTTAAAGGCACAGAGTCCTCTCCTGCCCCACCCCGCTGGGTCTCTGAAATCTAGTCCTGAGTTCCAAGGGGATCACTGCACGACAGCAATCTCAGGCCTGGGACTATGGAAGCCAGGTAGCGGGGGGGCATGGCTTCGTTCTCCTGCAAGCATCAGACACCCAGGGCCAAGGCCCAGACTAGTCCCTGAAGCTACAGGTCAGGGTCTGGGTATAGGAGGCAGCTGAGATGGTCCCTGAGAGTAGACAGTCCAGGTCCCCCAGAGCAGGTCCCATGCCCTGCCAGAGCAGGGTGATTAGTGTTCCAGATCCCTGGGCAGCGTGAAGTCCCTGAAGCTGTAGAAGGAGATGTCTCCATGATCCACCAGGGCAAAGATCAGAGGAACATCCCCACTCTGGTAGGATAACCGCTTGAGGGTACAGAGGTCTGGAACTGGTTCATCAAATCTGCAGGGATAAAGTTAGACTGAGACGTGGACATAGGCCACCCATAAGCTCTGAGCCCCCAGCCCTCTCAGGCTACCAGAAAGGGAAATCGTAAGACAGTTGAGGGTGCAAGAAGTCTGGCCTCTGGACGCTCCTATCTGCAAACTGCGTGGCTCTGGTAAGTTCTCCAAGAGTAACCCAGAGCCTTGGTTGGGTACAGGGGCTAGGAAGAGTGAGTTTCTCACCACTTTTAGCCTGTGAATCCCTCTGATTCACATCCCTTCTGCTGGGTGAGCCCTGCAGTAAATTGGCACAGGAGAGACTACCAAAGATGCCAGGAACGAGGGCTCAGGACTTGGGAAGCTCTGGTTCCTATAGTTCTGACTGGCTGTGTGGCCCTGAGTCAGTCACAGCTCTCTGGACCTCTGATTCCTCTCAGATTGGCAAACTGGCCAGGGGCACAGAGGGGAGGTCCACTTGGTTTACAAGAGAAATGGCAGCAGCCTGGGGGTAAGTGCTCACTGGTCTCATACCCACTAATGCACATCCGGGCGTAGGGCTTGCCAGGGTTATTCTTTCGGAATGTGGCCACGGCATCAGCCTGGTAAATGTCAAAGCTGATCTCCAAACCCCCAGACTTCTCCAGCAGCCTGAGGACAGAGTGAGAAACCTTAAGAAACAGGGACTGCCCTCCTCCTCCTTTCCATGCCATGCTTTCCCTCCCGCAAATCCAAAGCAGCCTCATCCAGGGGAAATGAGGTCCTGCTGTGAGGTGCCACTTGGGCAGGGGAAGGTTCAGATGCCTATCTCAGAACCCTCGGGCTAAATCCACCTCTTCCCTTTCACCCCTCCCTCTACCCTAGACACAAACGAATATCAGCCAGGCCAAGGGGGCCCTGGAATGATCCCCCAGCTCATGTCCAACTGAGTCAAGTCCCAGCTGCCAACTCCTGCTGGCAGCCAGGGTACTCTGGAGACAGGCACTACCTGGAGACTCACCGGGCACCTCCATCAGCAAGGTATGTGGTCTGCAGCACAGAGATATGCTGAAGGGCTGTGGCTGCAAGGACAGTGAAAATAAGGTATTGGGAGGGAAGTCACCATCTACAGACTCCTCTGAAGTTTCTGATTCTGCCATCTAGTTTAGTGTTGCCAGACTTAACAGATTAAAAAAAAATAAAATTGTCGGCATGTCCCATGCAATATTTGGAATATACTTATACTAAAAAAAAAAAAAATTAGCTGGGCGCCTGGGTGGCTCAGTTGGTTAGGTGACTGCCTTCGGCTTGGGTCATGATCCCAGGGTCCTGGGATCGAGTCCCACATCGGGCTCCCTGCTCGGCGGGAAGCCTGCTTCTCCCTCTCCCACTCCCCCTGCTTGTGTTCCTGCTCTTGCTATGTCTCTCTCTGTCAAAGAAATAAATAAAATCTTTAAAAAAAAAAATTAGCTGATTATCTGAACTTCAAACTGAACTCGTCTGGCAACCCTAGTCTAGTTACTTAGAATCTCCCACGTTCTCCTAAGGACTGTAAAGAATTCTGAATCTCTTAATACTGTTCTTGCCCTGTTGGTTCTCTATTCCTAAACATGCAGGGCATACACAGTAAGCCTTCCTTTTATTTGGCCACAATGGTGCCTCCTTGCTCCCCTCACAGAGTTGGGAGAACAGGGATCACAGCTAGTTGGTGGCAGAGCCATCCACATGCATCTTGTTTATTATCTTAAGGATATAGTTGTAGTTTCATTCCCCCTTGCCTCTTCCCGGACACAGACTTGCCGTTTCCAAACCTTCCCACATGGGTCCCTTTGCTGCTTTCCAGGAGAACAGACTGTCCTTGTGGGTTCCACTCCACGGGACAGCTCTCTCCATCCCATCTTTCTTAAGCCTCAATTAGCCATGGCCAATCCATGTCCCTTTCAAGGTCTTATGATGACTCAGCTGCCGGGGCCTGTGGGGCTTTGGCAGAGTGAGGGGCTACCTGGGGAGTCTGCCTGGCCAGGACTCAGCAAGGGTCTGACAGGCTGGTCCCACAGGTGCGGGGGGCGGCTCTGGCTCTTCTGCAGGTGCCTCCTCTGCAGCAGCTCCTTGTACTCCTGCCAGCTGGAGCAGCACCGCACCTCGGGATCCGAGTTTACATCCTCCCGGAAGCGCTGGGCTTCTGCTCGTTGCTCCCGTTCCCGCCTGGAAAGCTTCTCCTTCCTTTGGTTCAGCTTCTGGCACCAGGATTCAGCATCTGTCTCCCGCCCAGCGACATTGGCCGGGAGCAGCTCTGGGGCTGGGGCAAGCAGAAGGGTGTGGCGGCTATCTGAAGCCATGTTGGGGAAGGAGATCTGTTCAAAGTTCCAGCGTGGCTTACAAACCCCCTTGACCCCGTTCTCTACTTTGCCACTCTCCTGGCTGCACCCCACCCCCTTGTCAGCCAGGTCAGGCCAGGGCTCCAGGGATCCCAGAAGCTGAGATGGGCCCACTGGGCCCTTTACAGGGCTTGACTCCTGAGGTTTCTCCTCTACGCATCGGCTGTCCTCGTTGCAAGGAGGTGGGCTGGAGGTTGTCAGGCTCTCAGGTGTCTCATTCACCCCCTGTGGGGGATTCTCCAGGGCCTTGGCCTTCTTATTAATGGACCTGAGGGACGTGGGGAGGAAATTCAGCACGCCTGCTCCTGATATCTGAGATGCACACGTCCCACACATATCCTACTGCCTCCAGGATCCTACAAGGGAGCCACCCAAGCCCAGCTCTTAAGCCAATGCATTCTCCAAGGTCCCCCAAATGAGCACTCCCTTTACAGCTCTGCTCCCCAGAACTCCCTGGGGAGGTGGCCATGTGGGGAGCATTACCGAGAGCTGGAGCTCCTCCTCTTCCTCTTGCCATTCTGATCCTCTAAGCACTGGGCACTGCCATCCAAGTTCAGCTGTCTCTCATAAGGGGACAGGATGGAGCTGTAGGGTGAGAACTGGGTGGGCAACAGATCCACTTCCTCAGCCTGGAGTTCCCAGTGGAATTTGTGAGGAACTAGTCCAGAAGACAAGTCAGTGGGCCAGGGTCAAAGCCAAACCCAAAGGCTAAGTCCCTGGGCAGACCTGCAAGCAGGGTAAATGGGGACAACCACAAGGGCCTGCCCATGTGTCTTTGCCCAGGCCTCTGGGTCTCACCAATGGCCCCTTTGAACAGAGACTTACTGGAACCGGGGCTCCTGCAGAGCCAGCAATAAATGATTAATCACTAGTGAGAAAAATCAAGAGACCAGAAAACTTGGAAAATACAGAAAAATAAAAATACGCATAAACATCTTTGGTTCTTATAAACACACATCCTGTCTCCATATGTTTTTTTTTTTCTATCAGAAATTACATTGTACTGGGTGCCTGAGTGGCTCAGTCAGTTAAGCATCTGCCTTCAGTTCAGGTCGTCATCTTGGGGTCCTGAGATCAAGCCCCACATCTGAAGTCCCTGCTCAGCAGGGAGTCTGCTTCTCCCTCTCTCTCTCTGCACCCCCACCCCCGGCTCCTGTACTTGCCCACTCTCTCTCTCTCAAATAAAATCTTTAAAAAAAAAACCTTATACTAACATACCACTGTTTAATCTCTTACTCTCAATAACAAACTATGGACATAGCCCCTTCTGACTATAGCATTCTTCCCTACCATAATTTTCTTATGGTGCTAAGGCTACACCGTCCAGATGGTACCCACTAGACACAAAGGATAATTTAGGTTAAATTTAAATCCATTAAAATTACATGTGCTGCCGAAGCAAGCACTAAATCCATTAAAATTAAACAAAAATTCAGTCCCACAGTTGTACAAGCCACATATATTGGACAGCAGAGATCTGGAAAGCTTTTGTCACTGCAGAAAGTTCTACAGGACAGCTTCTCTAAGGGACAAACTCAATTTTGTGTCACCATGCCTTGAACTCACAGGATGTTTCCAAGTCCACCAATTTTGCAAAGTGATAATGTTTTGGGTAAGCTGCCCACTAAATGCAAGTTCTGTGGGGGCAATGATTTTGCTGAAATTCCTCAGCAACGAGCACAGGGCCTGGCACCCAGTAAGGAATCAAAATATTGTCGAATGAATGAACATTCTCACAGGTGAACTTACACACACACCTGTGCCTATTTCCTTGGGGTATATTCCAGTTTTAGGAACTAAATGGCATACCTGTTCTAGAGCTTTCGTGACATACTGTGAAACAGTAAAGAGTATACCAGTTTCCATCCTTGGGCCCATGCGATGGTCTCTGTGGCTCTTAGCAATGCCAGGCTACTAAGGTGATCATGTTTAGAGGCCCCAGAAGGAAAGAACATATGACATAGCCAAAGGAATGTGAGACCCTACTCAACTGTTAATTCCTCACTTGGCCCTTCATTCATGTATGCACTAGATAAATCTGCTTACACACCCAATGAGGCACTGTTTTGGTATTCCAGCCAAATGCCAGTGCACTGTTGCGAGCTGTAAGTGCTCAAATGTTATCTGCGGAGTGAACAGGCTGAAGATGGGGCTCAATCTGACAACCCAGGATAAGCTGAAATGACCCAGACTTGTCCCAGTGTGCCTCTCAATAGAGCACTTCCAACAGAGGCCCCCAGCCCATGTCCAGGGAGCTGCAGCTCCAGCCAAGGATTCCAGGTCAAGAGAGGCCATTTTCCACTTTGGGGCTACTCTACCAGGTCCCAGGACTGGAACAAACAGGAGGGAAATGGGATCGGGATTTACCTTGGTTGGAATCGTCGAACCACGTAGCCCAGTCTCTTCAGGTGGCTGAATGCCTCAAAGAGAAAAAATAAAGATCAGAGGTCCACTTTTGAAAACACCAAATAGTTCCTCCAAACAGGAGCCACTCCCCATGCCCCCTCCTCTGCTCCTCCTGCACACCCCAAACCCAGACCCTGGGATTGGTTGGACCATACTCCATTATAAACACCCTCCCCAAACTAAGGTCTCAGTCTCTGAATTCCTGTCTCTTGCTTACCTTACTCTAGGCACAAATGACATTTAGCAACTTCTTGATTTAAATGCAAAATCCCAAAAAAGCTGACAGCTGATGAATCAGGAAAAGAACTACATGCTAGAATGTTATGATACCAAAGCTGTCCGGAGCGAAGCTCCTGACCACAGTGTGAACAAGGAAGTGGCAAAAGGTGGTAGACAGCACACCCCCATCCTGCCACTCCACCCTACACCTCCACAGATGGGGATAGGGTAGGACTGGTCTTTGGTAAAGATCCTAGTGTTCTAATATCCATATCAGAGAGATATACGCAGGAATGACCCCACCCTGCTTGATCTCTCAGCAGCCTTCAACATAGCCAATCATTTTTTCCTTCTTTTGGCTTCTGTGATACCACCTCTCCTGGTTTTTCTCCTACGTTGTCAGACACTCCTCGGTCTGTTTCTGGTTCCTCATCGTCCCCCTGACCTCCTCACACTGGAATGCTCCAGGTCTCAGACCCAGCCCTCTATTCTGGCCACATTCCCATATAGCCCTGTGGTTTTAAATACCATCCACGCGTTCATGATGTCCACATTTATGTCTCTAGCCTTGTGCCCCTCCCCTGCTTTGTCTTCTTCCCAGGCCTCAGTTCTGTGAAGTCAGTCATTCAGTGACTTGTTCAGTTCCTCCCAAATGCCACCACTAGGATGCAGGCACCACGAGGGAAGAGCCCTTGGCTGTCTTGTAGTCCCAGCACATAGCTCTGTGTCTAGCACCTCATGGGTACTTATAAATCCTGACTCAGTGGATGGGTGGTCCCTCCCCTGGGAGAGGGTGGCAGATACCTGGTACTGCAGAAAAGTCATAGTGTCCTCAGTCAGCAGTAGCTGGTAGGCCTCCTGAATAGACAGTGGCAGATCTTGGTGGAAAAGCTGGATGGAGCCCTGGAAATGGGGCCAACAGCTCAGCTTGTGGACCCTTCTGCAGTGGCTCAACCAATGGGGCAACATCCAGGCGGTGATACATGGGCGCCCTTCCCTCCCCCTCTCCCCCGCCCCCAGCGTCACAGCAAGAATGTGGCCAACCAGGAAAGGAGGACACCACCACTAATTTAGAGGGGAATCCCCACTCTCTGCATGGTATTCTTGTCTCCGGTTCTAGAATTAGGGTTACAAGCTTCTTGAATCCTCAGTTGTGCAGATACTTTTACTCTTAATAAAAACATGTCCTTTCAGTTCCTTGCTCCCAACCCTTCCTCACCCTCCGGGGGACCCACTCACACACTCCAGCAGATATAAGGCCTCTTCGGGGTGAAGTCGCTGCCGGCCCTGCTCTGAGAAGCCCATGGTCTGCCAGAATTTACCCTGTGTAGAACCCGGAGCAAATGTCACAAAGGAGCCGGGAAGGCAGAGAAGGCGGATCCCTCTCCCCGAGCCCCGCCTCTCACCGCGGGAGACTTCAGTTCCACGAAGCCCTCTTCTGGCCTCCACTCGGCAGCCACCAAACTGCCCCTGCCGAAGAGTGGGGAGGGGGTCCGTCTGAGTCCCCCAGTGAAGTCGACGGGGTCCGGCCGTCCCGCCTGCCCCGGCCCCGCCCCGGCCCGCCCCCCTCACAGGCGCTCCACGCGCTCCTCCGCCAGCAGCTGCCAGAGCTCCTCGCGGCACACGCGCAGCCGCTCGGCCTGGGCCGCCGAGCCGTCGGGGAGGAAGTCCTTGGGCCCATGCGAGCGCTGAGGCAGCTTCTGGGACCGCGAGCGGGCAGCGAAGAGCTCCCGGGCACTGGAGAAGGAAGAGACGCGGGCTCAGCGCGGCGCACTCGGAGCCGCGCGGCCGCGTCCGGGATTCCCGTCCCCTTCCCCCGCGCCCTCTCCGCGTGCCCGGCGCCTCCGCGAGCCGGACCGCACCAGAGCACGCGCCCGGCGGGAACCTCCACAGCAGCAGGGTCGAGCTCAGGCTCCATCGGGCCGCCGTCTGCGGCTGCGCGCGCACCGCCCCCGACCCGCCCACCGCCGGAACTCCGCGCGGCCCTAAAGCCCTCAGATCCGCCCTCCGCTCCACCAGCCTCCCGCTCGACCAACCGGCTTTCCACCTTCCTGGCTGTCCTAGAGCCTGCCAACAGACTTATGCCTCGATTCCGGGGGCAGAGATTGCAGGTTTCTGGATTTATAGGAGCTCCCGTCTCCTCCCCAGCCCTCCCCTGGGCTCCTCTCTAGTAAAAATTGAGGAACACGGCGTCTGAGAGTGTAGGATGGACAGTCAAATGCGTGACCCTCCCCTCCGCAGCCCTGGGCCGCTTAGTCTCCACCACTTAGTCTGGACAAAGAAGAAAGAGGGAGGGTTTAGAGAAGGGAGAGTAGTAGGTTCCCACACTCCAGCCTCGCAGACTGGCCACCGGGGGCTGTCAGATGCGGTCTGGGTAGGTTCGGAGTTCCTTCTGGGTCCTCCGTTGGGTCCCTTCCGAGGGGCTCGGAAGACGGGTTTCGAGGGGTGGGGGCGGGAGGAGCTGTCCGGCACACGATGGTGCTGAAGCGCCACTCCAGCCTGTCATTAGCACCCCCTCGAGGCTGGGGTCCCCGCCGCTGCCACCGTGGGCCTCTCCGACATGGTCCGCTAGGTGGCACCATTGCTCCAACCAGCGGCTGTGAGTCGGTGACTCTGGTCGCGGGCGGAGGTCAACGTGGGAATCCCTGGAGGGGCGAGGGGCGAAAAGGCAGGGGGGCTTCCCAAGTGGGGTCCCCAGGTCTCGGTTTCCAGACCCCTTCACATCACGTCTTCTCTCCCACTCAGTCATAAACGGGGCATCTCGCCGTTGGGTTTGAACTCTAGAACCCCAGGTCGCGGCGGCTCCGCAACCGGGTTGCAGGGCGCGCACTCTGGCCCCTACCGCGCCGCTTCACCTGGGCGCATGCGCTGACCCGGCCAGCGTGCCCGGTCCGGACGAAAGCGGTGGGGGCGGGGTCTGGTACGGATGGGGGCGGGGCCGCAGGCGCTGACTGACATTCCGACTGCGCGGCCGGTACGGTCCCTCCGCTCCCGATCCGGCGGGAGGGAGGGGGGAGGGGCGGGATTTCCTGCGGGAGGCGCCGAGCCGGTCTTGGAAAAGGAGGAGAAGGAGGAGAAAGGGGCTAAGGGGGTCAGTTGGAGCCACCGTCCAGAGTGCCAGGGACCGAGCAGGGCCAGCCAGACCCCTGGCGGGGCAGCTGGGAGAGGTGAGACTGCGGGGCCTGCGCGGGGGGTTAGCACCTTTGAGGGCGGGCACAAACTAACTTTTCTTTCGGGATCGGCGGGCGCCTTCGTCTCTCTGCTCCTTCCGTCTTCCTCGCGCCTCTGTTCCGTCCTCCCGCATCAGTCCCTCCGGCGCTTGGCTCTCCCGGTCGCTCCCGCCGCTTTGTTCCCCGGGTCGGCCTGGGTTGGGCTGGGTTGGGGGATTGCGCGGCGCTGGACGGGCATTCCGGGGGGCGGGGGAGCCAGCCCGACCCCAAGCATTACCAGGGGCGTCCTCCTCCTGTGTCGGCTGCGGGCAAGAGCAGGAGTGCCCTCTGGGTTGGGCTTGGGACGTTCTAGGAGTAAGGAGACCCCAGCTAGGGCCCCAGGCCTGCACGGGTCTCATGCCACAGGGCTTGGGCAACAAATTCCTGGCCACTGCGAACTGACGTAAGCTTTTCTGCAGCGAAGTCGGGGCCCGGGCCTCGGGTTCAGGCTTGGGGGGGCCAGGCAGCCCCATCTGCCAGCGTGCCCCAGCTCTTGTCTCTGTTCTCTGCCCAGCTGCTTCCCCATCCCGCACAAGGGGTGAGGATGGGTCAGCAACAGGTGCCGTAAAGCCTCCCTGTCCAGCAGTCAGACCCCCGCCAGAAATGGGGAGCTATAAGCTCCCCACTCCACCCTCTGAATTTGTAAAGAGCCTGGGGCTAGGGCATCTAGCTATTACAGTAAAGCTTAGATTGGGAGGAGTCTAGGGGCAGGCACCTTCCACAGGGAGTGACCCTTGCCTGTCTGCCTGGGCCTGGCCCTTCCAGGCCCCACCTCCTGGCCCACCAGTTGTCTGTGGGTGTCAGAGCCGCAGGCTGTGGAGAACAGGCTGCGGGCCCAGCCTGCCCCAGTGTGTCGTGCTGCCAGGGCCCCTCCTGCCCCAGGTTGAGGTGCTGCCAGGTGCCCTGGGGCCTCAGTGACTCAGCCCAGAAAGTCACTGCCTCCCCCCAAATACTCCTCTCATGCCTGGCAGCTGTCTTCCTGCTCTGAGTGGCTTGGCCCTTCCTTGACTCAGAAGGGCAGCTAGGGTGGTTTCGGGGCTCCCTGGAAGCCCTGTCCTACCCTTCTGAGCCCTGCTTCTGGGACCCTTGCTGGCCTGGCCCCGCCTTCAGCAGAAGCACTGCACCTTTTTCCAGACCCCTGAGACGTGTCCACTGCTGCTTCCTGAGGCCGGAGGGAATGCTGACTGCGCTCTGGGTGGGCACTGGTGCTCCTGAGCCACGCTGGGAAGATTGGCGTGCCCAGTCCCAGCCCATCCCTGGGCCGTCCGACGCGGCAAGCAGATATCTGTCCAGGTTTCCACGCGGCCTCCACCCCCCCAGAGATCGGTGTTCCTGCTTGTGGTGGCTGCTCATGAAACACTTTGAGGGAGTACCCGTCAGTGCCTAACAAGAAGCCCACTGCTTGGGACACCAGACACGCTCCCCCAGGACGCCTGGCCCTCCAAAGGGCCAAGGCATGGCACCCTGACGCCTTGGCTTAGACCTAAAGTTTTCCTGCCTCTGCCCTGGACTCCTGATCCCAGAGCCCAGCCCAGGGACCGGAATGGGTCGTGAACAGGACCTGATCCTTGCCGTCAAGAACGGAGATGTGACTGGTGTGCAGAAACTGGTGGCCAAGGTCAAGGCCGCAAAGACAAGTGAGTGCTTTGGTGGGGTGACTGTCTAGCTGAGACCCTGCCCTGAGTGCTCAGGCTACAGAGAGAGGCTTGGGGGTCACTGTGATCTGGGGACTTGGGGTGGGAGGACTGTCCTGTAAGGAATGCCTCTGTGGGAGAGCCACAGAGGAAGTTGGGTCACCCCTTGCTGTGTATCCTTAGGCAAATCACTTAGCCTCTCTGGGCCTCGGTTTCCTCACCTGTAAAATGAATGGGTTGAAATACATTCATTCGAGTTTTTTTTGAGTGCCTACTGTGTGCCAGGCTTTGTTCCAGGCACCAGGCCATTATGCGGCAGCAGTGAATAAAACAGACCGAAATTCCTGCTCTCGTGGAGTTGCCTTTAGCAGGTGGTTTTTCTGATGTATTCTCTGGAGGCAGGAAATTTCTGGCGGTGGGGTTGGGAAAGACTGAATAGCTAGAGTTTCAACCCCATCCCCCAATTCAACAACAGCAAATCTGCATTTATGGCAGCTTAATGGGGATACCCATAAGATAACTTTTATTTTTTTTAAAGATTTTATTTATTTATTTGACAGAGACACAGCTAGAGAGGGTACACAAGCGGGGCGGGGGGTGTGTGGGGGGCGAGGGAGAAGCAGGCTTCCCACTGAGCAGGGAGCCCGATGTGGGGCTCTATCCCGGGACCCTGGGATCGTGACCTCAGCTGAAGGCAGATGCTTAACTGACTGAGCCACCCAGGTGCCCCCATAAGATAGCTTAAAAAAAAAAAAAAAAAGAGCTCTGCTGCTTAAAGCAAAGTTCATCACTGTCTCAGCGTTGCTAAAGCCCCTTCCCCTTGACTTACCTACCTGTGTCCCCTGGGGGTGTGTGGCCAAAGCTAACTTCCTAGAGGTTTCTCCAAAGTCCAGGTCTCCAGTCTTGACAGGGTTGTGGGGGCTCCATGCATGGGTAGCCACACCTGAACCCCGTCTCTTGGGTACCTCTGTGGTGAGATCCCCCCGACCTCTGGGCTTCAAGGCGAGTTCTCTGAGCTGTCCCAGAAGGACACTGTACTTGTCCCCTGAGTTTCTAGACAAGCAGGGGCAGGAGGTAGCTCCTGCCACCAGACTGGGGCTGGGGGAGGGAGGGTTCCCTCAGAGTGCTGGAGCTCTAGCCTCAAGACACACCTTGGCCCTGTGCACAGGAAGGGGCCCCCAGACTACATGAAGACATTTAATTATCCTCACCCACACCTGGGAGTTTGGGGTCCCAGAAGGACGGATTTGAAGGACCTGGGAATTGTGTACATGTGTGTGCACCCACTTGCACACTGGGGCAGGAGATCCAGGGTATGGGGAGATGGAGCTTGGCTGGGGGGAGGGGGGGGGACAGGTGGTGTGGTCTCTGTGCCCTGGGGAAGTGGATACTGGGTGAGCACAATGGAAGGAAGGTGCCAAAGAGGTCCTGGGAGGGCCCTGGAGGCCCAAGAGTGGGAGCCACTCCCCCTCCTCCCCTCACCTCTGTGTTGTTTTTGGCGACCTGCCCAGTAGGGCCTTGGTTGAGCTGCTGCTGGCCTCACAGCTCTGGGGCCTCAAAATGAGGCCCTCAGGAGGGCTAGCGAGTGGGATCTGGAGGCTGGTGGCGGGAACCTCACAGCCAGGCTCCTAGGCTCTGGAAGGTGCCCTGTGCCCCAGGGGAAATGCCTGTGGGGGAAGAGATCCCTTCCCTCAACCCCAAAGAGGACTTGTACATGGTGTGGGCATGGGCACAGAGTGACAGGGTCCTGGGACTCCTTATGAAGCCCCGGCACGGAGCCTCCCCTCCCAGTCCTCTGAGAAGCTGGGAAGGCTGGTGTAAAATGGAGATCACAAGGTGATGTTTGCAGATCCTATGGTTGATGAAATTTTCTAAGCCCTCGATTCCCTGTGAGATGGGTATTTCAGTATCTACTTTACAGATAATTGACACTCAGAGAGGATTAGCGAGTTGCCCAAGGTCACACAGCCATTATTTGGTGGATCAGAATCAAGTTCCTGTCCTCTCCCCTCTGCTCCTGCACATGGCTGCCCATCAGAATTACCTAGCGATTGTTCTGAAAATGCAGATTCCCTGTTCTCCTTCAGAATTAGAATCGTCACAGAGATCTTGAGACCCTGTGAGTCAGAAAGTTCTCCAGGTGACTCTAAAGCAGGGCTCAGAAGGGAAGCTGGGAACGCCTGCTCCATATCACAGAAGGGCAAAGGAAACTGATGGAAGGGGAGGTGTCAGGGGCTCCCCTTTTTCCTTCTGGTTGGCCAGAGGGAGATGCTCCCTCAGCCCCCTCCATTTGCTCTCTGGTTACTGGGGGGTCGGCATTCCCTGCCCACCCCGGGCCTCTTGAGGGAGCAGGCGGCTGGGAAGAGAAGGGCGCCGTTACCC